CTCTATCTGCCTCAGCAAACATCGCTCGCCGTGGCAAACTATTTGGTGCTATGCGTAACACATGCCCCAACAAACGTAATCTATGGTGGTCGACCACTTGCTCCAGAGGACGATCGCAGTTATCTAAAACTCTACGCTTAACCTCAGCACTGGTCGTCCGGCTGCCCTACCAGATTTGTGTGTGTAATGCTACGTAGACAGCGCAGCACTGAACGAATCAGGTCTAAAACGGCTTGCACGTTTCGTGAATTGGCATCGTTTGGACTTAAATTATCCACTTTTTGTGACAATTTATTTGATCAGTATCAACAATACAGTTTTGGCCACCCCGTTTCCAAAGCCTCAGTATGGTTGGGGGTGAGTGTCTAGGTTTGCGACTGGTCACCCTTCCCTTGCACCTCACGAAATGCTGTCATCCGACCAAACGTCTCGAATAGCCACTGCTGAGAAAGCCCTACTCACTGCCTTCTCGCGGCGGAGGTGTTTTCCCACTAAAGTGAGTGGACAAAAAGCCGATATCCGGGGCTATAGCCGGGTTGATGGACCACTGACAGTTCACCTAGGGGAGTTGGCCAAAAACCTTGATCCCAAACCAACCATGAGGAGGCGTACGAACCACACCCACACCTTTTCCGTTGTGGCACTGGTCACCGGCCCAATCAGGAATCGAGGTGTTTTGGGCACCTTGGACGTCTGACCCTGTCCGAAGGGCTTGTGATCCGATGAACTGGACACCGGCCGGCCCAACGGATTGCGGATTTCACACACCGCCCCGCTGCCTTGCGGGTCAGGCTTTGGCTACCCGAAGGCTCCGGTTGTGGATTCCTCAGGAGAATCCAGCTGCCTTGGCCTGGGCAACTTGGCAGTAATCAGCCCACAAGCCAATCATGGAACATTTTCTTTTTTATAAAGATTATTGTACCATGATTTGTTTGGCACACAGTCTGTCCTCAGACGAGTGTGAAATATAATAATAATACTGTGTCAGTGTGAGCGATTCCAAATGGTGAGATGATACAAAACCTCTCATTTCCTTCACTTGGTCCCCATCCACAGGGCCTCGAGCGACCTATTTGACCGAGTCTCTTGATCAATTTTTTTCATACCCTCAAGCCAGGTCGTGCTCTGACCACATTTGACTTTTTCCCGCAATTTCTGTGTACCACCACCACCACCACCACCACTACCACTACCACCAAAGAATAACTCATAAAATGACATAAGGTTTAGCAATCATAGCATAGAGTACATTGCTGACTCAGTTTCAGTTTCAGTTCGTACAATCATTAACTATGCACTTTCTTGTGCCTATTTTGATTGCTGTCTTTTAGCTACCCATTTGGATGAAGCGTTACAGGAAAGATTGGAAAAACGGAAATAGAGTAGAAGAGAAAATGGCGAACTCCAATCGACTAAGGTTGCAGAGTTTATGAGTAGATTTACGAGCGGCGCTGTTTACGACACTCAGTCATACCACTCAGTGTCTCTAAGCAGTGATTACAACGACCCCGCGATCCCCATCTAGAGGGCCTAAAGCGACCTTTATGACCGAGTCTCTTGATCAATTTATTCTCATACCCTTATGCCAGGCTCTGATATGATCACATACGACTTTTTTCCACCCGCCTCGGCACATATCGCGCGCGTGTTTCCGAGACACAACAACATACGTCTATAGTTTGAAAGTTTCAACGGTTCTAACCAAGGCAGGTGGTTGACCAATCCGGTAACCTGTACGGAAAGCTGTAAATTTTGATGAATTGACCTTACTGGTAAAACGTTGAGTGATGTCTGATGGGTGGCTTGAACAACAGGCATCTGAAGTGATTCGGGAGAGATAGGAACTAGACAGATCGCTAAGACGTTTTTCCAAATGGGTGTCTCTGACTTTAGAGCCCGGCATACTCCACGGGAGCCCACATCGGCGAAGGGATTTTTTCTCTGGGAACCCTGATCGAAGCCTACGACTCAAAGTTCTCACCCACGCCGAAACGTGATCGAAGCAACCATGTGAAAGCTTATAGTGACCTTATTGACTGGGGTCTGTCCAGTTTGAATGGGCGGTCACTGTCCAATGAAGTGAAAAAATTCTCTCACCATCAAGAGGAAGTCCCTGGTATCCCTGTTCGTACCGGTAACCATCAACTCCATATATTTAAGTGCGATGGAAATGTTTGTGATAACCGACAAAGAACACTGGACAACTGTTTCGTCTTGTTTATGCTCTAAAATTGATAGAGCCGTTCGCACAAGGTGTTGACCGTCGACTGTGTAGCTCAGGAATCAGTGTTTGAAGACCCAACAACCGACTGATCGCGGTTCGAGTCCTGACAGAAGCACAAGCAAAAAGTACGCACAGCTGACGAGTCTCGAACAGGACGAAACGGCTGTCCACTGCTCTTTGTCGGTTATCACAAAGATTTCATCTTATTTAAATGGGAAATTAACGATCCTCCGAGGGGTGAGACGCACACCGAAGAGTGCCTGGTGTTTCTAAACAATCGAATGAGCTAATCCATGCTTGATAGTCTAAAAAAGCCACTTCGTGTGCTCATCTACTGAAGTGACCTTACTAGGAGCGAGGGCGAATAGTTAAAGGAAACCCGGAGATGCCTGATCAATTAAACTCCTGAGACTAAGCATTGTCTGGCCACTAATCCATCGCACCACATCCCGATAGCTGTGCATCAATGATCCAATATGATAGAACAGCTGTACCGTTTCAAAAGCACCATAGACATCGCTGGCAAACTATATAAAACAGGTGGAAGAAGAGCTTAATCGGAACTATTTCCCCGAAATATCCACGGATAGTCTGCGTTTATAAAACTTTCTACGCCTGTATAACTTTCATAATGCTGAAACACCAAGGATATAAAATGAGCAATGTCAAGAGAAGAAAATGGAATTTAAAAAGTTTCTTATTAACGTTGTCCCGATTATTAGTGACGTCATTATTACAGGTAGTTCCTGTTGAATGATTGATTGATTGCTTGATTGATTGATTATCTTGAATGAAAAGAATACAAGAGAGAGAGAAAAACAAAAATTGAAAATGGGTTGAAATGAGCGTGTGTGTGTGTGGCTAGGGTCAGTTTAATAGCGGCTCATAGCGCTCAGTCTACAGCCACATACCTCTTATAAGTGGGCGAGAAACGCGTGCTCCTGCGCGCGGACGCAAAAAAGATACAACTGAACAGCAGCATCAGCAATAGTGGTGAAATAAGAGTTTATGGACTGGGGGTGGGGATAGGATGATAGAGATAACAATAATGCGAATGTCAATANNNACTGTAGCCGATAGACAGAAACCGGGTCGGAAGAACCGACCGATCGATCGAATGGACCAATCAAAACAAAGGCCCGAGGAAGCCTGTATCCCGGTATGTATATAAATGGGTCTGTGTACACAATTGTGGCCTCTGTGTATTCTCGGTTCTCGAACAGCTGTCTTAGTTTGGTTCTATGACGATGGATCGGAGTGCGGAGCGGAGTGGGGTCGGGTGGGGCAGAAGGCGGAGGGAACTCA